ATAATGAAAGTTAGATGCGGTAATGCTAGTAGTAGTTGTTGTTGTCGTTGTAGTAGGGGTAGTGGTAGTAACAGTCGTCGTCGTCGTCGTCGTCGTAGTCAGACGCTTATCGAAGCCCTAAACCCATCAAAAAAGGAAGGAAACATTATGAACCTTGTAGGAACCCTTCAAGGAACCCGTTTAGAAACCCTGAAAACGAACCCGAAACCCTGAACCCTGTACCCCTAAACCCTAAACCCTAAACCTTAAACCCTAAACGGAAACCCCAAACCCCAAACCCTAAACCCTGAACGGAAACCCCAAACCCCCCTCCCCCCCGCCAAAAAAAAACAAAAGAAAGACTCCAAGCGCCTCGTGGCTCCAGAAGCCCTCCGCGAAGCGGCGGGGAAGCCGTTTGGCAAGCTCCTCCGCAGGCGTTTTGGGAAGGGTTTCGGGTTTAGGGCTTGGGGTTTAAGGTCTAGGGTTTCGGGCTTAGGGGCTATAATGTGGGGTTTAGGGTTTAGGGTTTGGGGCTTTTGGTGTCCTGTAAGGGGTCCTTTTAAGGGCAGGGTTTCTTTAAGAGTTCCTTTGAGGGTTCCTTCAAGGGGCTCCCTTAAGAGTTCCTTTCAGGGCTTGTTTAAGGCCGCGTTAAGCGATTCTCGAAGCGCTTTTGGAGTTTAGGGTCTAGGGTTTAACGATTTTGGGCTTCAGGGGCTTAAAGGTTTCTAGACCTTAATCTCTAACCCTAAACCCTACACCCTAAACCAACAAGGCTCGTGACTGAGCTTCTCGACAGGTTTTAAGCCTTACTACACAGATTTAGCAAAGGTGCCAATATAGGGGCCTTAATAATTAGGGTAGGGCTGTAGGGTTTATTGAAGTACAATTTTAATAAGAGCCCTCACGGTAACATTGGGAATTATTTAATCCCCTTTAGATTCTACAAGGGATCTATTCATTGCACTATCCATAGCAAAAGGATTCCAGTGTTTAGTTTAAGGACCCAAGAGTACACTCTCAAACCCTAAACCCTAAACGCTGAACCCTAAACCCTAAACCTTAAAGACCCTAAAACCCTAAACGCTAAACCCTAAGCCCTAAACGCTAAACCCTAAGCCCGAAACCCTAAACCCTAAACCAGGCCCAAAATCATGAGACGGCCTGGTCACAGAGACTCCAGAGCCTTGAACGAAGGAATACTCTTAACGTAGGAGCCTTAGTAATTAGAATAGGGTTTCGGGGGGTGCTAAAGGGTTCATTAAAGGGTTCTATAAGGGCTACTATAAGGGTTTAGGGTTTCGGGGCCTTAATAATTAGAATAGGGTGTCGGGGTATAGTATACTCTAATTTTCATACGGAACCCCCGAAATAATTCTAGCAATTATTTAGGCCCCTTTTTTACACTGAACGCAATGGGTTGACGGTGTGGCTCAGGGCCAGTGAAATTCAAAACTCCCAGACCTCGAAGCCGCTCTGACAATGACTACATGCCTTGGGTTGACGGTGTAGCTCTTGGCTTAGAAACCCTGAACCCTAAACCCCTAAACCTTGGACCGCCACATTCGGTAGGTCTTCAAGAAGCGGGCGCGCTCTGCAACGCACCCGGCCATCTTTTGATGCATGGCCTTCAAATTCTGGCCCGGCAGCAACGGCAAGCCCTGCCTCACCTTCGCCGCTGCTTCCTCCATGACCACCTCCCCCTGGTCAGCGGGGCGGTACATGCGTCACGTGCATACACACCCTTCCCATCTCTCGTCTTCGATCCTACCACTCCTTCTCTCTATCTTCTGTCACATGTTGCCTCCTCGATGCGGCGCTGCACCACGGTGAGCTGGTCGCCCAGCGCCTCCATCTTCTGGAGGTCTCAGTTCCCGAATGTGTTGCTGGCTTCAAAAAGGGATCCGTATGCATGCGACCTTCGACACGACAGGCTGTAAGCTCCGGACAGCACTGCTTCTGCCAGTGCGTCGGAGGTCTCGGATCGCGTGGCCAGCGTCCGATCCCTCCGGCCTGGTGCGGCGCCTTCACCTTCTGCTCCTTAGCGGGCACGGCCGCCGCCGCGGCCGACGACTTGCTTCGAAGTCGCCGAGCCGGGCGCGCAGGCGCTTCCCCGCTCCCTGCCGTCCTGACGTGGTCGGGTAGGTGCCTGAACCAACAGGAGCACGCCACGGGCGACAGTCCTAGAACCTGCAAGTGCACGACACCAGACACTTCAGCTGCAGCTGAGCCACTGCCCGGACCACCACCTCCACTTCCAAGTCACTTGGAGCGTCAGGACCTTCGTCGGCGGTTCATCGGGATACACCTATATGCAGCTTCTAGTGGCGAGCAGGAGCAGGAGGCGGCGTCGGCGGCTGGCGGCAGGCCCGCTTGGAAGCCGCAGGAGGTGGCGGGTTGATGCCCTTGGTCACCGGAAGTCTGCGAGCTAGTCGTGACAATGACTGTGTCATCTCTGAGACCTCCTTCATTTCCGAGGCACCGCCGGTGACGTCGACACTTGGACGGTGACCTCAGCCACTGATCACTGCGGCTTCTCGTGCTGTCTGCGGGGCGGCTGTGTACACGCACTGCCCGATCATGCACGATCCCCTGGCCTTCACGGCGACATATCGTCGAAGCCGACGACGCCCAGGCGCGCAGTCTCCCACCACATATTCCTCGGCTGGAGACATTCACAGTCGGATACATCTGCACGCTAGCAACCGTAATCCCCGCCTCCACCTCGGCACCGACCGTCCTGGCAGAAGCTGCGGCTGCCATGGCTGTGGCAGCTTTCGAAGGAGGCAAGGCTTGCTGTTGTTGCTTGAGAAGGGCTTCGAGCCGATCAACGGATCCATCCAGACACGTGTCTTTCATGCTAGCTCTGCTTCAAGCCTGCGGTGCACATGCTGGTTCTTGTCGCTCACGCCAACACTAAGCTCGCATGCTCCCTGTCTTTGTTTTAGACGGACATTGGCTGGCATTAGCTACTAAAGTTACCGGGCGTCTTACGTCCACAGGATCTCGGAGGGAAGTTTGTCCATCGAGACCACTGTGCTGCGCCACCACTTCCGCCGCCCTGCTTTGAGGGGGTGGCCAAAATCTACAAGGGATCCATCCATAAAACAAGATTGACTGGGCACCAGGCCCCAAGGGAACATTCGAAATGACAAAACCGTACCCCAAAACACTGTCAGAATAGAACTGGTCAGGGTTCAGGGTTTCAGGGTTTAGGGTTTAGGGTTTGGAAGAACCCAGCAGTTTTAAAGTTGGACTTTGGACTACTCTGCTAACAAAATGGCAGGAATATTCCTGAGCTAAGGGGCTTGGACATCCAGGAATTGTCCTTAAGATCCTAGACCCTAAACTCTAAACCCTAATAACCCTAAAACCTAGGCCCTCAAGCAGTAAAATCCTATAGAACCCTTAGAGAGCCTTCTCGACCCAGATGCAAAGCTCACCCAAAAAACAGAGGTAAACCTTAAACCCAATCAGAATCCTGCAAACGCCTGGTAGAAACCTCATCGTAAACCCCTATTCCCTAAACCCTAAATCCGTCCCCAACTGCTCCTCGCATGCGGGCCTGGGCGTAGGCTACTATGTGAAACTTTTAGGGGTAAGGGTTTAGGTTTAGGGTTGACGGTTTAGGGCCCTAAACCCTAAAGCCTAACAATCTCAACCCTAAACCCCAAAGTCCCTAAAGTAGAGACTTTACTGTAGCTGATGGCTTCGGAGGTTTGGGAAAGGTTTCGATGAGGGCGAATCTGAGGGTAGGCTACAGTGAACTGTAGAAGGTTTCGCGGGTTCAGGGTTAGGGGTTTAGGGGTGTAGGGTTTAGGAGTTGAGGGTTACAGGAGTTTAGGGTTCTAGGAGTTTACGGCTTCGGGGTTTTAGGAGTGTCATATGCTGCTTGCTTCCCGAATCTGGCTCCTTTTAGGAATAGGAAGAAAAGGAAAACGGATCCTTTTCATGGGTGGGGATTGAAAGTGTCCTAAACCCTAAACCCTAAACCCTAAACCCTAAACCCTAAACCCTAAACAGGAAACAGGGTTTGGGGGTTCCCTGCATCCTCGGCTGTCCTGCTGTTGACCTGGCATAGAAGTTCCTCGTGACATCCCCAGAGCCGTCAAGCAGCGCAAGACTCAAAGCTGAGAGGGTTTAGGGTTTAGGGTTTAGGGTTTAGGGTTTAGGGAGTGAGGGGCTACAGTGAGCCCCGGAAAATTTTCAACATGGATTTAGGATGATTAGTGCTGGGACTCCCT